AGCATAATATGAAGCCGATATTTTATCACGTTTACCTTGAAAGTCAAAATGAGAGTCAAATTGAAGAAAAAAATTTGAAAAATATTTTTTAAATTATGTGTTTAATTTGTTGAGGGCCCCGTCAAATATTTCGCTTTTCAAAAAGGTTCCGTCCCCAAAAAAGTTTAAGAAACACTGCTCTATAATAATATGGGATCTATCCATTTAATTACATTTTATTTTCTCTAATTTTGACACATAAAGTAATATATTTTATAAAGTAGAACATTATGCAACTGATTACGAAAAGTTGATTACGTCACCAGTTATGAAATGAAAATAAATAAAACTGCCTCTTTTTTGGTTTTTAAGTCGAAAAATCGAGAAATCGAGAGTAAAGGGGCAGCAACAGTTCGGCCTCATTCCCCATGTTAAATCCCATAAGAAATCGCTAAGGTTCATTCTGGCAATTTTTGTCTAAATCAAGGTCACGCGTCGAGAATCGAAGTCTGGTGTCGAAACGTCGAAACGTTAAACGAAAACGACAAACGTCTAAACGTCAAACGAAAACGTCGAAACGTCAAACGAAATCATCGAAACGTCAAACGAAAACGTCGAAACGTTAAACGAAAACGACAAACGTCTAAACGTCAAACTAAAACGTCGAAACGTCAAACGAAATCGTCGAAACGTCAAACGAAAACGTCAAAACGTCAAAAATCGTTTCGTCTGACGTTTCGGCGTTTTCGTTTGTTTCGACGTTTTCGTTTGACGTTTCGACGATTTCGTTTGACGTTTCGACGTTTTCGTTTGACGTTTAGACGTTTGACGTTTAGACGTTTGTCGTTTTCGTTTAACGTTTCGACGTTTTCGTTTGACGTTTCGACGATTTCGTTTGACGTTTCGACGTTTTCGTTTGACGTTTAGACGTTTGACGTTTAGACGTTTGTCGTTTAACGTTTCGACGTTTCGACACCAGACTTCGATTCTCGACGCGTGACCTTGATTTAGACAAAAATTGCCAGAATGAACCTTAGCGATTTCTTATGGGATTTAACATGGGGAATGAGGCCGAACTGTTGCTGCCCCTTTACTATCGAGTAATCGAAAAATCTAAAAATCGAAAAATCCAAAAAATCTAAAAAACCAAATATCGAAAAAAAGGCCGATAATAGTGACATTTCACATTTGAAAATATGACATTACGTTTAACAACAAAAAAGAAAAGCTTTAAATTGCGTTTTATTTTTTTAAATAATTGAACACCGTTATTGAAAACTGCCCAGAAATGTTGGGGGTAAAATTTTGACGTACTCCTTTAAGGATAATGGGTAATTTTTTTTTTTCAAATTTCTCGCGGGTAATATCAAAAATCAGATCGACAACACTGCACATGTTCCTTGTTTTTATTATTATTGAAAAAAAAAAAACGTCGTAGGGCAATCAAATACAACAATTTTCTGAAATATTTGATTGGAAGTACCTAAAAAAGAATGCGGTGAATTATTTTTCAACACAATTTTATAAATAATCAAGACAAAATTAGGAAAAATCTTGTATGTAAACACGTTACCAAATGCCGTTTTGTGTAACTCGTTCATTTTGCAGGACCTCGCTCCGCTCGTCCCGCAAATATTTACTCGTTACACAAAATAAGGCATTTCGTAACTGGTTACATAAATAGCTATTAATTGACTTCCTAATATTTTAAATCATTGAACGGTATTTTCCGTAAATAATTAAATCATAAATAATTACCGGTATATAAGTACCAAAACATTTTTTTTTTCTTCGAAGAATAGGCTTATGTCAAATAAACTTAAAATATAACGAACGAAAAGGTAACCCATTTCTAATAAAATTTAATTATTTATTTTATTTTGGTGTGATCGTAGAAAAAATCTTGTGTGTAATTCGGCAAAAAGTACTTTGGCTGTTTCGATAACTTTTTGTCTCAACAGCTATTTTGTTACAATCATTTTATAAACTTCTACTTAGGGTCGATTTCACCGTTTTGTTAAACGAAGATTAAAATGACATTTTTATATTAACAAAAATAAAGTTTAAATTACTAAATGGAGTTTAAAATGACATTTTTACATTAACAATATCATTTTAATCTTCACTTAGTAATTTAAACTTCGTTTGACACAACGGTGGAATCGCCCCTTAGCTAGTTATATATTGATAAAGTGTTATTGCCCTCATCATAAATGAATCGTGCTGACAAATAAAGTCAAAAAAACGTGTTAAAATTTTTTATCTTTTAGTTACCTACCAAAATTAGGTACTACAATACAAATATTTAAGTCCGGCCCACAACAATATAGTACACATAACTATAATAAGTTTTCACAAATTTGTTCGGAAGTGAACTGGAATACACTTTTATCAACTGATAACCCAATAGAGCAATTTCATAATGCTCTAATAAATAAATTCAATGAAGCTTTTCCCATAAAATACTTAAAGATAAAAAACAGAAAAGGTTGGATGACAAAGGGAATTAAGACATCAGCTAAAAATATATGCTCCTTGCATTTGATCAAAAAATATGTTGGAGCAGACAATATAAGTTTCTTAAATTACTTTAATAAATACCGGTCAGTTTACAGAAGAACAATAAAGTTAGCTAAAAAACTATATTTCGAAGGAAGAATTGCAATTTCAGGAAATAAACAGAAAGAGACCTGGAAAATCATTAATGAGTTGAGGGGCAAACATTTAAAACCAGTAATTACTAATCTTAGTCCAGACGATATTAATAAATTTTACTGTTCTGTTGGACCAAAATTGGCTGTACAAATAAAATCTTTCATTGACCTTTTATCATTCTTAAATAACGTTAATGTTTCCGACACTTTTTATTTTATACCCACTCATTACATAGAGATTAAGGAAGTTTTAAAATCTATAACCAAAAAAAATTCTTCAGACACAATATTAAGTTCACTAGCTGATGCAATTAATTACTCATTTGTTGAAGGTACATTTTGTGACACTTTAAAGGTTGCGAATATCATACCATTGAACAAAGGGGGAATAATCCAGCAAATTACCGTCCCATATCTTTACTACCAACCTTAGCGAAAGTAATAGAAAAATTGGTGAAGTCAAGAATGTTGGATTTTTTAAATAAGCACTCGTTACTTTCCATTCTCAGTTTGGCTTTCAATCAGCAAAAAACACTACAGATGCTATGTTCTCTCTCCTGCAAAAACTATATCTTGAAATTAATGACGATCGGGTGGCTGCAGTAGTGTTTTGTGATTTAACCAAGGCCTTTGATTGTGTGAATCACAAAATACTGCTAGACAAGCTTGAAAAATATGATTTTCGAGGAATTGCTTTAAAATGGTTTCAATCCTACTTAAATAATAGAATTCAAAAGGTAACTTCAAATGATCAATCCTCAATGTCAGAACATATTTATTGCGGAGTTCCGCAGGGATCAGTACTGGGACCAGTACTTTTCCTTATATACTTTAATGACATTGTCACTATTAACATTCTGGGACAATTTGCAATTTTTGCTGATGATTAGACAGTGCTTTGGCTCAGCAACAATAATGAAACCTTGCATCGTATCATAAGCAGGGACATTGAATTAATTAAACAATGGTGTGACGCTAACTATCTAACATTTAATATTTCAAAAACCAATATTGTTTGTTTTAAATGTGAAATGGAAAACATTTCAATGGGAGCCGAAATTATTAACGTTACAAATGAAAATAAATTTTTAGGATTATCTATTGATTATAGACTAAAATTTGAAAGTCACATACATTTATTATGTAAAAAGTTAGCGTGGGTTGTTTTGCAGTACGATCAGTGACCTACAGTTTAAGTTTGCAGGCTGCAAGAAGCGTATATTTTGCGCTGATAGAATCCCATTTGAGGTATGGCATTTGTTTCTGGGGTGCATGTTCTGACGAACTATTTAATAGAGTCTTTATTAGGCAAAAGCGGGCCCTGAGGTACATGTGTAAACTTAATAATTATGCTTCTTGTAAACCCTTATTTTATAAATATAAAATTTTAACAGTAGCCAGCTTGTTTATATTAGAGACGGTAGCTCTTATTCATAAAAAGTTTAAGGAAGAAATAATTATAACTTCAACATACAATACAAGGCAATCGTACTACCTTTATCTACCGATCCCATCATCCGCATTAATAAGGAACTCTATTATATACAACGGAAGAAAAATGTTTATTCATTTACCCTTGGCAATAAGAAAAATTACAAATTATAAAGTATTCTATGGAAGTGTGAAAAAAATTATGCTAAAAAAAACTTATTATTCTATTGAAGAATTTTATAATGATAATTTTAACTAAAATTTTATGTGTACTGTAATATTTACCAATTTTATTTTATTTTAATTACATTTTTATATTTTAATTTTAAATTGTGTAAATACCTAATTTTATATTCTTATTTTAATTTTAAATTGTGTAAATACCTATTAGTACTATAAGAACTTAGACTTTGTTTATAAAATTTTATATTTTAAAACAATAAAGTATCTATCTATCTATCTAACATCTCCCTACTCCTTCCACCCAGTTTTTCGGTTTTGGCAAAATTCGCGCAGTGACAAATGCTTCCTATGTTACCTCTACCCTTTCTAACCTCTTTGATTACATTTTATGTCTTGACATTAGAATTTTAAAAATTTTTAAAACAAACAAAAATTTCATTTATGAAAATTTTATGTTTGTTTCTTTTCTTTGAATTTTAAGTTTTTATTTTTGTTTTTACCTCTCTTATACTATTATGTTATCTATTTTGGTTAATAAGAATGTAATTAATTTTTCAACAATAACATTTTTTGGACTTGGTGTTAAAAATGTTAAAATACAATTAGTACCACTTTATATAGTAGCAACATTAACATTTATAGTAGACTTATGTATTTATTAATGTTACATTTGTCATAGTCAAAACCAGTTTATATTAATATTTTTCAATTTTAATATTTTTGTGATTTTGGTTTCTGATCATTTGTACATACCTGTGCGTCGATTACTTCCCAGCAACGTTGCATCAACTCAGACTCCTCAAACAACCTTGACTGGCTCAACAAGAGACAGGCGTTTTTCGCTGTAAGACTAGTTTCCAAGTAATTGACACATGCACGAGCTAGATGTGGCACAATGTACTTTTTAGCTACATAGAGGGTCGCTAGGACTGTATCGGCTTCAAGCTGGATTTCATCACAATATAGGTACCTAAAAATATTTATAGCAAAAAAAAATTAATAGTTCATAATAAATAATATAGTGCTTTTATTCATATTAACTAGTTTTATAGGATGCCAACTTAGTGCAAGTTTAGAAAACGAGCTGCTAAATATTTATGAAAGGAGTATTAAAAGAACAACATTAATTTGTTGTTCTATATTAAAAGTTCAGTAGTTAATTCTTATTTTTTAGGTTGGTAACAATACATTTGTAAACTTCTAAAGAAAAAAGTCTATATTCATGAATTTATAACACAATTTTTGTTGAATCAAATAAAAATTTTCATTACTTCAATAAAGTGAGGAATGCAGAGGGTTCCACATCAGGCACTTCTATTTCTTCCTTAACTTCAGCAAGGCCCCCGTAAAACATTGCATAGAAAACAGAGCTACCAGTTGAAAGAACAAACTTGTGAGCAGGAATGACGTGCGTTGATCCAGGTGGACCAACTATAAATCTGAAAATTAATACCAATAATACAGATTTACTTAATTTTTCCATTTGTTATGACTGTAACACAACTCAAAAAATATAGTTTCGAGAAAAAAGATAATGCAGGCATTAACTACATCTGATTTTTTTGAATGTTGGTAAAGTATTGGTAAAAAATAACAATTCTTTAGAAGGTAGGGTGTTTAATTTCTGATCTATCTAAGGAATTAATTCAAAAATGTAATTTTTTGAGTCATGCAGCTTTTTTTAGCTCATGTGCGACATTTTAAAAAGTTAAAAACAATTATTTTTAAGGTATTGAAGAAAATATATTTTTCTCAGATGGATTGTGTTTATTTTACACATTTCTGGAAGGTTTGTTCTCATTAAATAATTGAAAAAATTTAAAAGTCCATCCTGACTATTGACTTGGATGAAGTTACTTAGTTATCTTAATAGTAAGAAAAACTTTTAAAAATAAATCATTTGGTTTTTGAACTAATACACTAATTGTCTCTTTAGGCTCTACCTCTGTAGGCTGTAGGGATCACTTTTCAACCTTTTTATTAATGACAATGGGACCATTGTTCATTTATTTAAAAATTCAAAATTTGATTTATAAATACAAGTTCTATGGTAAAAAAATACTAAAAATAAAGTATAAAAAATGCCAATAAAACTACTAATGATTATTCAGTTAGGCATGTCTATACCTATGTGAATTGACTATTTTTTACCTTCGTCACAACTTTGTCTTATAATTGGGTGTATTCCTCTTAAACAATCAAGTTATATAGCTATATTTTTAATTCTTTAACTACTTGATATAATGACGATATTCAAATATTATAAAAATAAGTATAATTTTTTTATTATTCTTACTTTATGTCAGACATCAAATCATTATTGAACATGGCAGCATTTCTTTCTCTAACACTATGTTTGCAAGCCTGCCAGTTCGAATCCAAAATAGATGACGAAACTGTAGGAGAACTGCATGAACTAGAAGAAGGTGACTCAGGTGCACTAATTGGTTGTAATACTGGCAAAGTCTCTTTTTGACATACGGTGTGTGGTGGTGATAAGTTGAGTGGTCCATTATTCAGAACTTCAGCTGTTAAAAATAAATTATTCAATGTCAGATTAACAATTTTAATATAATAATGACAATAATAATAATAACAATAAAAATGGGGTGGGTGGCTCAGTGGTAGAGTCTCTGCCTGTGGATCCAAGGGTCCCAGGTTCGAATCCCACCGTTGGCGAAATAACCTTAGCAGTTGAAACGATGACACAAAAAAAAATAATAAAAAAAAACATTTTTAAAAATTACAAAAATAAAATACCTATATTTTGGGAAAAAAGTCATTTAACTAAATTACTATGTATTATAAATAAATAATTTAATTATTATTAAGCTTAAAAACTGAAAATAGGTATTCTTTAAATCATTGTCTGATTTATTAAAATATTTAGCCCCTTAGTATGAGAGACTGCCTTCAAAAATAGAACATGTGTGGTAGGACATTGTTTTCATGGATTGCTGACATATATTAATATTATAATAATAATAGTTTATTTGTCCTCTAGGATCATGTTACATGATATAGGATAAGTCATAATATATATGAATAAAAAATATTAAAATACAAATAAATATAGGTACAGTATACAAAAAAATATAAGACATGCACATTAAAAATATACAATTAGAAAAACATTTAACCTTAAAATATGTGGTATTCAGATAAATTATAAAAACATGAATCTACTAAATAGTTTTTAAGTTTTCTTTTAAAAGGTTCATATTTATTTTCAGATTTAATGAAATCAGGGAGTTGATTAAAAAATTTAATTCCAACAAATTCAGGCGATTTCTCAAATAATGCTGTTGAATGTCTTGGTGTTCTGAATAAATTTGCATTCCTAGTTGAGTATTCATGGTAATTTGAATTTTGTAAAAATTGGTGTATGTTGCGTTTAGCATATAGCAACGTTTTATAAATAATATAAATACAGGGAAATGTTAATATTTTAAATTTTTTGAAGTTATATTTACAAGTTTGCATTAATTCTAGATTATTCTTTTCTGTAAGATAAATACTTTAGATGCACTGAATATGCTAAAGCATAGTAGACATTAAGCAGTTGCTCTTGGGTAAATATTGATTTTAATTTTAGTATTGCATAGTATGCCCTGTTTAATTTTTTACAAACATTAGATATATGGCTATCCCAACCCATATTGCTATCAATATGTATGCCCAAAAATTTTGTAACATCTGAGAGCATAATTTCTGCATTATTGACATTTATTTTACAATTCTGGGTAATTTGATTTCTGGAGTAGAACTGAAGGCAAACGGTTTTGTTTGAATTAACAATTAAAGAATTTTTATAACACCATACTAATTAATTCATCTACTGATTGTGCATTGGTGGCAATTGTTGTGACATCTGCATATAAAATTATGTTTTCTGAGTTAATATGATTAGGCATATCATTTATGTAGCATAGAAAAATTATAGGTCCTAAAATTGATCCCTGTGGCACACCCATATCAACACTTTCTAGTTCAAACTTACAATTTCTGACTTTGACATAGAACTGTCTGTTATTTATATAAGATGACAACCAAGACAAAAAGTTACCTCTAATGCATTTGCTTCCTGTAAATTAACTTACAAGAGATATAAATGGATTCAATGGAAGATGTGTACCATGTAGGAAAGGATTTTTTTGTTATTAAATATGTGTAAATATGTTCATATCAATGGTCTAATTCTAATACCCCATAACTGCATGGATTGACATATTATAGGAGTGGCTTTTTTAGTTTAATAGTACTATGATTGCAATAAGGGTCAGAGTAGTCAATTTTCTCATGTAAATATTGTCCAAAGTCAATACAGTGTATTTTAACTAATGACAGAGCAAATGTACAACTGAATGGAGCGAAAAAGTTGAAATTTTGATTTTTTTTGCAGAATTAGAATTTGACCATCGATATATAATAAAAAGTATTATTTTTATTTCTTATATTGGTGTACTGTAATATACTGGGATGAATATTCTGCCGTGTTAATTCAAATGGCCGTATCTGTTTATTACATGAACATGAGAAAAATCACTTACACCCAAATTTCTAATCAATAAATCTCGGATTTTATAGAATATATATCCATGAAAATTATAAAGATGAATAAAAAATTCATTGTTGTCAGGCGTAGTGGTCATATCTTTATTTCAAGGAAAATTGCAGTTAAGACCATCTGAATTAACAGCAGTATTCTGTAAATATATTTAATTTTTTAGCTACTTATAGTTATTTAGAACTTTGGCTGTTAAAAATAAATTACTCAGTGTCAGATTAACAATTTTATTTAACATAGATTCAATGGAAAATGTGTACTAGATAGGAGATAGGAAAGTTTTTTTTGTATTCATATCTCATAAAAATGTTGAATAAATCTGTAGAGTTTGGATAAATCTGTGTGTTAATTATTAAATCTGAGCAGTCCCATTATAAAGATGTTCATTATACAATAATTATTAAGTATTATTTGTAATTTTAATGTCTAAACAAGTATCTGTTAACAATGTTAACCTCATAATGTTCGAAAATGTTTGTTTTCAATTAATGCAGAATCATTTCAATGTTTCTAAATTGGAAATGGTTTTGTCACACTATAGTTTCGGTACTTCTCATAGACAATATTATATTATTAATGATAAAATGTAGGTATTTGTTGTACTTACCATTCATCCAAGTTTGTGATAAATTGATATTTTCCTGTATACGTTTGCCTGGTTTAGGTCCAATTTTAGAATATAAATTTGACATAGCCATCTGTTATCATTTCCAAATTACCTCAAATCTGGATATAGCCTCAATCCTTTTGCTTACTGTTTTAAGTTCATTTTTACAGAAAAAATACACTTTTATTTACTAAATTATTTACCTGCAGAGTCATCATGAATGTCAAATGTCAATTTGTTTGTCAAAATAATGTCAATGTCAAATGCCTTCTTGTTTTCTTTTGCTGCGTTCGGTCTGCCAAGCTCTTTTAACACTTTTAACTCCAAACGACCTTCTTAGCGTTCGGCCCTTGACCAAACCGAACCCTACTTTTGTGATATAGCACCTCCGAGCAATTCAGAAACCACTAAAATTTATAGATAGGTACCATCATAGCTCTCAGAAACCCTAGATACAACATCAAAAACAAATTTTGACCCCTAAATCAGGGCGCCATATTAAGTGAATTTTAAGGTGGCACTACTGACAAGACAGGATTGGCGTAAGGTTGCGGTAGAAGATATAAGGAAGGAGTAACTTTTCACAAATAATTTTCTTGATATAAATTTTTTTTATGGTTTATTTTATACCATAACAAAACATTTTTGGAATTAGTGGTTGATAGCTATAGAGAGACCATTTATATTTTAAAATAAATTTTCAACTTGTATGAAATTTTAATTTAGGATTTATATGGTAATATTTTTCTGAGCCTCTAATAATATATTTTTTAAAAAATAATCTTTTTCACGAATTTGCATCTGTTTTGGATTATCTTTAATAATTTAAAAACGCTAAAAACCAATGTTCAGCTGAAAGATTTGTTTATAAAGTACGAAAGTAAATTGTTCTAGTATTTGTAGACAAAATGTAAGACGTAATATTAATTTTTTCAAAGTGACTTCTTGTATTCGCGTAAACGCACCTTAATAAAAAGCATTTTTAAGCGAACTACCAAATTTTCTTGGTATTTACCACAAAAATTTCTAGGTTATTGCGTGAATTTATGAAACGGGTTAGTATACTGACGTCACAAGTGGCAATCGCTTAAACGAAGTGGTAATAACCGTTGTTGTATGTTTATTAACCTATCTTTTTCGCCGTATTTATGAATAGGTGATATAGACTCTTGTTTAAACTATATTGTTTATTGTCCTGCAAGAAATAGTAAGACCCAAAGAAGAAATTAGTCTCTGAAGTCTTTCCCTTTGCAATTTTTACTCATCCAATAATCTTCTATCATTTTTGAATAAGATTTTAATGTTTAAAAAAGGCACAAAATCGGGTTTAGTATACCTTATTTGTATAGTACTACTCGGAACAAAACACTCACTCCAGTTGTAACTATCAATTACTTACTTATAACCAATAATCAAAAACAGCTCTGGACGAAGGTAAATACCGCAAAATTTTGGTTAAAACTTTGATGGAAAACAGCTGATTTATAACGTCACGGATATATTACCAAATTAATAACCGAAGCCACTCAAATATTGTAGTAATTACCAATCTCAAATGGTAAATACCAAATGCTTTTGGTTATTCGCCTAAAACTTACTAAAGTTTACGCTGCTAAGCAAAAACAAAGCGCAACTAAAATAAGACACTTGCAAACTGTAACTAAAAATGCCGTTACTTTTTTCTCGGAGGACTTTAACACTCACCGCATTATGATGATTGTACTATGCCAATTTGAACATTTTGAATTTTAACATTAAACTTCAAAATTTAAGGTTGCGCTATTCTTATATTGGCCATCTTGTTGAATTAGTCGAAACGATAAATATCCATCAATATTTATTCTTCGAAATTTCCCTGGGCACAAAATGCAAATAAGCAAGCATAATAATTAACTTTATAGAGCAGAACCAGAATTGCAGCGGCTTTTTTGCGTCATGCCCCAATCATTTTGAAAAAAATATTAGACTGTATACTTGTTGTTTTAAAATCAATTAACTATCAAATAAAATAAAATTTTGTAAGGCTGTTAGTACAATTAAAATTACTATAATTTATTTACACGAATAGCGTAAATATCGCGCCGTTTAACCCTTTCGCTGCTCTTGGCGAAAATACTAGAGTGTGTACTTAATTATTCATTTAGTAAAAAATGTACCTATTTATCCATGCTATTTATCAACGCTAGACGAAATCTTGTGTTGTGGCAGGAGTGTGTTATTATTCTCATATTTTTGTTTGCATTTTTGTAAGTTAAAACTAAATACAAAAAATTAGTTTTATAAATGCATTTTCAAAAACTTCAACAGAAAAATGGAATAAGTCAATAAATTGTAGTTTAGTTTATTGCATAACAAAGAGAAATAAAGAGTGCGCAAGTGTTTTTTGTTTAAAATGTCTCTCAAATATGGTATCCAGTCAATTCGTCGCGCGACAATTTATCGCGCGACCTTTCAGAGCCGACAATTCATCGCCACGACTTTTCATCGCTACGACAGTTTATCGCTACGACAATTCATCGCCACAAAAATATCGTATTGTATCTATGATTTATACAGTATGTCTGAAAAACAAACAATTTTTTTTGTGCTATATTGAATTTTTCTTATAAGTACCAAATAAAATTATTTTTTCGAAAAAATTACAAAATATCTTACTCTAAATTACACAAAAATATGATTTACTTTTTTTCTGCTAATCAAGTAGTTTTTACTAAGAAAAATATAATAAATATCAATAATGTATTATTGATAAGCCAATTTAACGTGTATAAGCGGCAGTCGCAGGTTCTCAACAGTCCTTTACCTACTATTTAAAAAGGATTATCTTCATTAGCCAATTCGGGTAAGTTACCACATTAGTTAATATAATAATAGAGAATTATAATTATCCTTTATTAATCCTTTCAAGGAGAAATTCATAGTGCAATCAATATTTAATTCTAAAATAGTATATTATGCAACGATCATGTAATGATGGTTATTAATACACGAGCATTAACCGGGATACGAAACGAGCCAAAGGCGAGTTTCGTATGGTTTATGCGAGTGTTTTAATAACCATTACATGAGAGTTGCATACGCTATTTTTTCTACACCCGATAAATAATCAAGACCTATAAATATTATATTTATATTGGTATTGAACACAATAACAGTAATTACTCGTATTTCTATAAAAAATTCTACAAAATTGTAATTAATGGTATTACTTCAGGTATTGGTATTTCCCTAGATTTTTGCGGTAAAATATTTTGTACTGTATTTTCTGCTTTCTCCGATATGTGTGGAGGAGTCTTCTATATCGCTAATATCAGACATTTTAATATTATAATTATCGAAGTTTAGCTACCTACGAAAATTTAATACGTTTTGACAACTAAAATAATTACATAGGAACCTAGGACAAACGTCAAACAGCATGCTTGATTGAAAAATTGTAGGTTTCTATTGATTAAAAATCTGTATCGTAATGAAAAATCTGTATCATAATGGGTATCATTATGAAACGGATTATGGGCATATAAGTGCATTATTATAATACGGGTGTAGAAAAAGGATTATTTTCAATAGCTTGTTTGGGTAAGTTAGTATTTTAGATGCCCTGTTTATAATATATGTATATAAGGTTTAAATAAGAAATACCAATGAACTGTAATCATTCTTATTTTGTCTTTTACAATGGCCATACACATTCTAGAGAAAAAATTTCTGGAGAAAAAAGTATTTGGAAATGTTCTCTATATCATAAATGGAGATGTACCGGTCGCATTCATACCATAGGCGATGAAATTGTGAAGAGTACCGAACATAATCATGTGTCAGATAGTGCTGATGCCGAAGTAAGAAGAGCTGTTAAAAAAATGAAAGTTTTAGCTGAACAAAGTGGTTCCTCTACTCAACAAATCATTGCAAAGGTTTCCGAGGGTTTATCATCATCGGCTGCAGCCAGATTACCACAAGTGAGTGCAATGAAAAGAACTATTCAACGAAAAAAGAAAAGACAGAAGGAATTCCTGCGATTCCAAATTCTCTGCTTCAATTAGTTATTCCACAGGAATATACACTGACAAGCAGTGGTCAGTTATTTTTAATGTACGACAGCGGCCCATCAGAAGATCCAATATTAGTGTTTACAACAGCAAGAAATCTTGACTACATGTTGGAGTGTGAACACTGGTACGGAGATGGAACTTTTTCAACAGCCCCTAATATGTTTTCCCAAATATATACAATCCATGGCGTCAAATATTCAAATACCATTCCAACAGTATATACAATTCTGCCGAATAAAAGAGAAGAAAGCTATAGACGTTTATATGCAGCATTAAAAAATTTGAAACCTGAACTTTGCCCTACATCTTTTTTAATGGATTTCGAAAAAGCAGCGATGAATGCGGTACGAAGTGAATTCCCTAATACTCAAATTCGTGGATGCTTTTTTCATTTTTCTCAGTGTATATGGAGACAAATCCAGAATACCGGATTTCAGACGCGATATGTGGATGAAGAAGTGTTTTCATTAAATTTGCGACTTCTGGCTGCACTTGCTTATGTTTCTGAAAACGATGTAGAGAGTGCTTTTGATTTATTATTGGAAAGTGAATTCTATGCAGAAAACGAGGACTTAGCAGATTTAATAAACTATTTTGAAGACGCGTGGATTGGTAGATTAGACAGAAGAGGAAGAAGACGGTTACCAAAATTTCCTATATCTTCTTGGAATTGTTACAATGCAGCCAGAGAGGGAATTGCTAGAACCAATAATGCAGTTGAAGGATGGCATAACAGTTTCAGTTCAATTGTTTCCATTGCACATCCTAACATTTGGAGGCTAATTAAGGCTTTACAAAAGGAGGAAAGCCTTAACAAATTGAAAATAGAGCAAATTGTGGCAGGTAATGAAATTACTCAAAAAAAAATTTACAAAGATTCTGCACGTCGTTTAAAACTTACTTACAGAATCCTACGACGCTCGTAATAGCATGGAATATCTTCGAGGAATTGCGCATAATTTTCGAATGCAAGTCTAAATTATTTAATATTATTATATTATATTAATTCAATTTAAAATGTAATAACTAGCAACTACAATTTTTTATAATATTTTTTTTTTCAATATACCTACTTGTTTTTTATTACCTATACTAAAAAATATATAAAATAAAATTTTGACTATAATAAAAAAAATAAAATAAACCATAAAATGAATTCTAAAAAATGGCTGGCGACAAATTGTCGTGGCGGTGAATTGTCGTAGCGGTGAATCGTCTTACGATGAAATGTCGGCTCTGAATTTTCGCGCG